TCCAGCAAATTTTTTGAAAATTCACATGCCCAAGCTCTTGCGACACGATTTTCCAATAGCGTCCGTGTATGTGTGTGTCCATGTGTCCACGTATGCGAGGTGCTGCACGTTCTTGAAGTGACATGGAGCAGGTGGGAGGCATGAATACTAATTTTTTCGGCCGACAGGTTTTGCTTTTATGGAAATTTCCCCAGAAATAATGTAAACGTGCCAGTCTGATGACGAACAATCAATCAATAAGCCAGCAGCATTATAAATAAACAAAAAGCAGGTCAATCAACGACCCTTATTCGATACATTTTAGTTCGCTTATTGCGTATTGCACAATGCTACGGTTTAAATTAATATTCAAAATTATTATTATTAGCAATCACATGATTATTTTATTTGATAACGCTGTTCACTCATCAAAATAGGGTCATTATGTACATGAGCTAAGTACATACGCATTTATTTTGTTCCTTGAACAACAGTTGGTGCATGCAATCGATATGCTCGATGTATGCCACCTATCAAAAGTATATACAGTGAACACAGGATACGATTGACCAATATTAATGCGAAATTCTCGATATGTTAAATGCTTACGGGGGCGTTACTTGATAATTGCTAACACTTATCCGATGGGAAATTAAAAATACGACGACAAATAAGAGTCGATAATATTGACAATTGTCGTACATCGCCCGAAAGAGGTTAAATACAAGTTTAGACTCATTGTCTTGACATTTACTTATGTAAGAGTTCGAAGCAGTGTTTTGTGAGATAAGGGACATAACACTGCAAGACTGCAGAAACCCTTATGAATCCGAAATGAGATGGTGCGTAGCATGCCACTTAGCGATCTGTTTATGATAACAACTCTAACAACAGCAAGGTAATTATGGATGATTAATTGGTGTAATTAATTCATGAGACAAAGATCGAACTGAAACCTGAATTTATGCTTAAACGCTGCAGAGTCCAAGTATTGCATAAGATCAAAAGTGCTAGTTCTGCCCTCCTGATAACCCACCGCTCTTGGTTGACTCTACCGAAATGGAGAGAGATGAAACGGGCATAAATTTGAAGGAAAATTCCACACGGGTTGGCAAATGCGAAATCGATGCCACATCAAGTAACGATCAACATATCATGTAACGTCCGTAATTGAGCTTCATTAGCCATGCACATTCTCCGTACATTTGGTGGGTGGGTAGGTCGTCCGGCTGTGTGCCCTTTATTTCCTTCCTCCTCCGCATATATTAAACCCAGGTCATCCAGTCAGCCTCCTTCTTGGATGTGATGACGTTGCCAAATTCCTCTGACGACTGCGGAATGTCATGAATGCAAACTGTCTGTGCTCCATCATTAATCTGAGTATTTATCACAGGTCACCAGCCAAGCAATCACCGAAAGGAAGACATTTATGTATGATGTATCTCTCTCTGCATCATTTCCTGCCGTCTCCTGATCGGAAAAGTCATTTGCCCAACTGTTTCCCCAGCTTTTGTTCCAGGTCTTCACTCTCTGCATCATAATCAGTCAACTTTGATGTGAGACTGTCTCACTCCTCAGTGCATATGTAACTATCCCAAGGAACAGTTAACAGCAAAATAGGGCCAATATATTTTGTTTCGTCTTTCATCTCTACGTAGCTTGGTCCACTTCATTTCCTCGCCTAATGAATAAAAATATAGTCAGATTTATGTCTGCTCCGTCAAATTCTGAGCAAGAGGAGAGCCGGCCTGCAGCTTTTCTTTCTTAAAGCAGCCACGCAAAGTAGATTACTGCGAGGGGAGTTGACTTTCTCTCTTTCGCGTTGCTGGTTGGGGAGGAGGGTGGAGAAAGTCGTCGTCCTTTCCTTTTCTTCTTCATGCATCATTTACCTCTGTTCCCCTGGGCCAACAGTTCCTCTCTCATTTTTATTCATAATGATGTTTCTCAAGGGGAAGTAAATTAAGCACGAGAATTACCATATAAATTCTATTAGTGTATTATGCCTATCAGTTCTGCTCGTCGTCCCGCTTCGTTGGTTGACTTTGGCTTGTTCACTTTTTTATATTTATCAACGACTGGATTTAAGTTGGGTAAGCTACTTATCTTTAGTAAGTTGGAGGACCTACCTGTAACCGATGGATGGACAAAATGCGATAATGCTGTGTGAAGAAGTTGTCTCGCCTCCTCCATTTTCATCCATTATTGCTTTTGTATGTTTCCGACGACGACGGCGACGACGACGACTGAGTGGTTAAGTGTTCAATTTTGAGCAGCTTTGAAGGAATATATTTCCCCGCAGGGATATCAAAGACAGATTACTCGCTGCCAGTATTGCCTTCTTCTTGTAGTGCCATTATCCGGCTGCGATGGACGCTGTGTCGATGACATGATGCGTTCCGTTCTGTCGTGAGTCAACAAGAATAAATATTTGGTTTGCTCCTTCGCACTCTGTTCGTCACAGAGAGGAAAGCGACTCGAGGAAATAAGGGGTGTAATACATACGATAAAATATTTAAAGAAACATGACCCACATATTTTGTCGGTGCGGGGCTCATGGATTATTTATGCCTTTTTTGCGGTAGTTGTATTACAATCGAATAACCCTTCGTTCAAAGTCCCCTATTTTGAGTCGACAAGCTTGTTTGTAGCTTTGTTTGAGGTTTGGTTTGGTCGGTGCCTCTGTTAATTTGGTATTGAGAATTTGTAAGCAGTGCTGAATTGACAGTCATAATTACGCCCATTAATCATTCACAAGCGCTTCTTGAATTTTTGCAGCCTGGGGAATTGGTCGCTGCGCCGAAATAGATTGACTTATCTAAAAATCCATTAAGACTCCTTTTCTACTGTCCCATCGTATGTTTGCTCTGTTGATTGAAAATGGAAATGCCGCTCCCTCCTTCCCATTTCACCTTCAGCCTGCAAATCACAAAGGGACTTGGCTCTCTTCAAATTGGGCGAATTTGGGACAAGTTGTCAGTCCCACTATCTAATTCTGCTGGCTAAAGTTGATTCAAAAGTCACCATTTTCTAGTGAACTTTCTCAAAATATGAATCCAGAAGTAAGCACGAACTACACACTCTGATCACACGCATTCGACGGTTTTCTATTCAACAGTTGACTGGCTTTGGTTTATTATTTATGTTATATCTCCAATTGAACAAATAGACGCGTGTAATTTATTTTCACAATATCAGCGAAAGGAGGCTTGAAATGGGACAAAAATAAACTTTTTCAGGCAGCCATGCCCTGGATAATATCCATTACATTGCTCTACACTCGTCTTTTAACCACCGTAAGAGTGAGGGCACATGAAAAATGGGTTGTTTGTCTATCGGGGATTTCATTCCTCTGATGATTTTTTACTTGCGACTTTCCATCTCGCTTTCTCCGCGACTTGAGCCATCTGCTGCTGCTCCAGTTCCTCCAACTATTTGTCTTTCTTCTCCTTCTTCTCGGAGAAAGGGGAGGCATTGTCGTTAGCCATTTAGTCTCTAACTCAATCACATGCTGTCTTCAATCCCCATCAGCATCCATACATATACGCAAGCATTATACCAACATACCTACAAATATATACATATATGCCTTAATCCTCTAATAATGGTGGTTTCCAAGTAAGAAGTAGTCAATTTAAAGGCTAAGTAACCTCGTACTCGAGGTAACTAGTTATTTCTTTAACTTCTCGTGTGTCAATCTTTGTATGCTACTTGATTGCCCGGTTGTTGGGAATATATTCCACCTGAATCAAAGGACTACCTGAATCCAACCATCGAGTTGTGCAGATTACGAGTGCTTCAGGGTTTGTGGTGGAAATAATAATATCTTTATTCCCCACTCCACCATGTCAATGCAGAAAGAAAAGTCAAGCCCCACGGATTAACCTGTCAACGATCAACTTGGGCTGCACCAAATCTTATATATGTTCTGAGGGTAATTTACTTTCAGGAGAAAGCAGTGGAATAAAAAAGAGGAAAAGTCGGATGGGAATTAACCCTGAAGGATTGGCGCTTGTTTAAACCGCAATTCATTACTCATTCTTTCACCTGAATAATCTGCCTTCATTTATCTCTGTCTCCGGGTAAAAATGCTGCCTGCGATATTAAAGCAGGTCAGATCGGATTGAGAAAGGTGAGCGATGATGATGTTCACATTACATTTAGTACGTTGCTAGCAAGGGATGTCGTACATGTGCACAGTGTAAACACACCGTACCATCAAATATTAATTTGTAACCCACCATGTGGATACAACAAAGGTTACCTCCAGATCTCAGTGGTTACATCAGTGCATAAATATGAGGCTGGTATTTACAAATCTGTATCTGCAACGGGATAGATTCAAGAAGCTGAAGAAATGCATAAAATTTACATTAAACCGTTTTCTCAGAATCGAGCAGTGTAGTTAAATAAATTGCTTGAGTTCCATATTTTCCAATCAAGAAACCCCGGAAGTCTTATTCCTTTCGAGGAAATCATCATCTTTTCAGGATTGTAGGATTCCCTACAGGCTAAGTAATTTCAAAATTGAAGATGAATATTTCCCGAGGGAGAAGAAGACCAAATTTTCCTGAGCGACGAGCGTGATAATAAATTCCACTTAAATTGGAAGCCTTAACTCCCGTTAAATATCGGATGGAGAGACATCCGATATTTAACCGTGTGCAGCTACATAAATATATTAACTTATCTCACGAAAACGCCTTCTCTCCCAACTTCCTGTGACCTGCTGGCTGGTTGAAGAATGAACTCTTAGGTGTTGGCTTCTAAATATGCACGTGGCCAACTACCTAGTACACAGCACGGCGTAGGATGAACAGCAGTGCGGTTGGGTTTATGTAATACGAACCGTATGAAGAGAGAAAGGAGAGAGGGTTATGTGTGAAAGATACGTGAAAGATAGCTGCCTACTTTACGGCGACCTGGTCGTCCGTGGCAATAAATTGGTGGTAAAGGGCCAGTGGACTGCTCATTCCTAAAGGAAATTTATGACTAACGCCACTCTTTTATTTTGACCTTTTCAGGCTGTGGGCTCCTTGTCAGGACCTGTTCCGTACTGGCAGATGCAGGAAGTTTACGTGTGTGTCCGTCTGGACTCTAAATCTCGATACGTTATCCGAATCGTCCTTCCGGATGGGTCGCTGCTGCTCCAGGTTCGTTCAATACTTTCTCTCCCAATGTCCTCCCAAATCGCACTATATAAACCAACGAATGAGCTGTGGATTTGGAACTTTGGAGTTATGTCGAGTCTTGTACCCCAAGGGCATCATTTTTGTGTGTATTCAACATAACAGATGCCCATTCCGTGGGCTGTTTGGTGTGCTACACGTTCCAATTTTTATTCTGGATACCCGCCGATGCTGCTGGCAGAGGTGGGTTTGAAAATAATTTCCTATCATTTAACTGTTTACCCAGAAAAGATCAAAGGTTCCTCGTCTCAATAAATTTAAACTGCCGCCGGAACAAGTCGTTGGTACTTCGCTTCTGGACATTGTTGTCTGCAGCCTAGTGCGGACCTTGTGATTCACGAGCCCCACGTATTAGCTTCTCTCTGATCATCAGCCCACTACTTTCATTATAAGCTGTTGTGGGTTTGTGTGGTTGACCGCTCATGGTTCGTGAGGGAGGAAATTGGAAGACCAGAATTGAATACATACATAAACCCACAAACCTCTTTGAATTGCAATTGCCCTCGACGGGTTATTGGACAATTTCACAATGTAAGGCCGCCGTATCACAAGTGAACATACGCAATTTAGTAGAATTCCTCCGGACAGATTTACTTTCCCTCATATCGAATTCCTCCCTCTTCTCGCTGCTGCTCGAGTGTGGCGTGGCAAAAAGCAGTTAACGGCCCTTTCGGCGTTTTTATTTGCTTCGTTTGATAAAATGAAATAAAATGTTTACAACGGGCATTTTGAAGCGTTTATTACCCCGCAACAATTTATGGTTCCTCTTTTTAGGAGGGAGGTCTGCTGATCACTCTTAGTTTAGGTCCAAGTTTTTACCCACTATGCTCGCTTTTAGTGCATTGTGGTCAGTTGCTTAAATGCGCTTTTTATTAGACCCGAAATTGAGACTGGTTGGAGAAAATTAATTTAATTCGGACGGAACCTACAAGCAAAAGCCCAGTATATTTGTCAAACATGTTGACGACTTCCTCAACTCGTACGTACTTTGACGGTTTTTGGCTTATCCAGAGGAGTTCATCATCCTAAATATATACGTTCGTATGCGTAATGCCATTAGCAGATCAGTCGGTTAGCAGGACGTGAACACATGCTCCTGTCTCTTCAATCTTCTCATGGTTGAACAAATCTCATTGGCCATCCGGGCGTTCAGGATTTTGAATGGAAGACACACAAGGCGAGTAAGGCGAGTAGTGGAACTAGCACTGTTTGCTCTCGTTAGTTTAGTTCAGATCCTCTCTTTTTCTGTGTAAACTCAATTCGTGTAAGTTTGTTTGCTCGGCACACCCACCCGAACACATCCATCCACGAGGACGAGATGGACAGTCGGATGGATGGGTTTGTCACAAGTTCCTTCCTTTCCCTTCTCATTTGATTCCTCTCCATTCCATCCAACATTCACAAATGTACCGGAAGCACAAACATTTCTCATTGCATGGGTACAACTTTATAGCGTTTTTCTCTGTGTGTAACAATTCCTCCAACATCTAAGGTATTTGCTAACAGAGGAAAATTTTTGTTCAAACTTTCCACACGCAACGCACACATTCTTTCAAAGTAAAGAAAAAGAAACGAAAAAGTCATTACTATAAATATGCACTGGTCGCAATTTGGACGAGTTTTTGGGTGTGGAGTTGTGCTCTTGACGTTGTACACATTTCATTTGGGGTGAAAGTGAGAAAGTGATGTAGAACATTATAAATTAATTATTTGTATAATTTCACAATTCAACGAACCGTGGAGCCCGACACTTTTTATCCGTATTATAAACACTTTCTCTACATATTTTCTCAGCTTTCACCATGGACGGCGCCTACCCTTCCTTTTCTCTGCCTGGCTGATAAAGATTCAGACGATGTGAAGCTGATTCGGAGTCATAAATTATACTCCTTCCCTTAAAACTATCATTGTCGAGTCGTCTGATATGATTATTGAGTCATTTGAGAGTGATGAATGTCGTAAAAACCAAAAAAGAGCTTTTGCATGACAGAATGGTTTGTTTTCATAAAAATTTACGACCCGTGAAATCCCCTGGGCTTAGTTTTACATGATTTCTTTTATTCTTAGAATGTCGTTAAAATGTCATTCTCGGAAGCTCGCCTCTGGTTCATGCACTTCTTTTTAATTACCAAACAAAGGAAGACGATTATTCCTGATGAGATGGGCTTTTTGCTCTTCTCCATAATTTTTACTATGTATCCCTGCTTGGAGACCTGGCAAAATGAGGAGGTACGCATGTACGCATGCCAAATAAACGCAACAATTTCGGTGAACTTTTCAAGCTCAATTTTCGAAAATTTGTCGTAGTACAACAAATCTGAAATAGAAAAATTAGGGACAAATGTTGACGAGAGGACAGCATTTTTGTGCTGCTCAAGTGACTCGGTGTTGTGTGAGTGACGCGATTTCTCGCCACAGTTTGGACGATGGCTGTACACATAAATCAGCATCAGTGTTGATGCGTTGGAGGCTTAAAAGCGTGAAAAGGGTTGGGAGAAAGCACCACGCCGCTTTGAACTCCCAACTCGAGCGGACTCCATAGATTGGGACTTTGCACAAAAAATCAAACGGCTGTCTGGAGACCGTCGTGGCAGAAAAAATTATTAAAAAGGAGCAAACTCCCAATTTTCTTTTGGATTCAAATCAAATGCAAACATGGTCCCCATCCAGACTTCTTGTGGAACAGGACAGTCGAATCCCTTTCCTTGACTCGGCTTACTTTCTCCCATTTTTCCCCTTTTTGTACACAATGCCATATTTTACTCCAAAGTATGCTCCTCCAGAAATTGGCTTGTGTGCAAGAGTGATCAAAATTTAGTCCAACTCAACATTACACAAACAACTAATTTTGTATCCTCTCCCCGCTTTGATCAGAATTACACTTTCACTTTCACCAGAGCCAGGCAGGATAAAGGACTTATTTGCTGCTGCCACTCTACTAAAATTTCTGTTGCAAAATCAAAATTACGGGATGTTCAAGAGAGAGGAGACGGCGGAAGCTATTTCATCTCATCAGACTCATTCTTCTTCACAACGAAGGAGCTCCTTGGTGAAGACCTGTGAGATGCATGAGTGGATTCGCAATTCATGGAAAGGTTTACATTCACTCCCTCCGTCTTCACTCCGTCTTCAGTTCAAACCACTGACTGCGGCACAAAGTGTACGGCTGAGGATACAAAAAGTCCAAATAAAATACCTGTCGTTGCAGCTTCCGCTTCTTTCTCGTCGGGGTGGTGGGGGTTTTACCTCTAAATAGATCTTCCTCATCCATGCAGACATTCACAGTGGAAAAGTTCATAAGATTTTGTGCATGATTTATTCCGATGGCAAATGGGCCTGTCTGGAATCTCAAACACGGAGTGAAAGGTGGTGGTGGGACCTGTGTATGAATAACAGGAAGAGCGAGATGATGATGCCATTTGACAACCTCTCACATCCAATCTTCCAAAATGACTCTGATGCATGCCACTCCGAATTTGGAACTAATTGAGGATGTTTTTCCGAATCTTGCAACTCGAGTTCCGTTATTGCTCATTGTCAAGTGTTCTTCAAAAGTGAAGGACACTTTCATTGGACGTCACCTCCTGTCAGCCTTCCTCTTCCAACCCCAGGCTACATGTCATCCGGCTCACTCCTCTCCTCTCCTCGCCTGCCTGCCTTCACCCAATGGATAAAGCGGAGTTTACTCAATATTTGGTGAACAAGTACCAAAACTCTTCGTTACTCGCCTTATCGTATCACTGGCTGAGCAGGAGAACAATGTGTGTCTGCAACTCGACGTATCTATCAATGTGCAATGTATGTAAAGTGATGAGGATAGAAATGGCAGTGGTGGATTGTGGATAACTTGCTGCATGTGAGGAGAATATGAATTTAATGGGACTTCCTCAAGTTGAGAGGAAGGGATCCTCTCGTAGCAAAGATGAAACGGCGGAGAAATGGAGCTTCAGGACCAGATTCGCAAAGGGGAGGAAATCTCGGCCCAATATTGAACTCAGCTGAAATCGAATCGGTGGAAAGAAATCCACACCACAACAACTGCCACGGAGAGGCGAACCGAGTGTACAAAAGGTCAGGTAGAGAAACGGTAGAAATTGCTCCAATGGATCTCTCCCAGCATCCAGCGCCCCTTTACTCAACCGTCCGTGAAGAATTTCCCAACGACTGACAGCAGCCACCCATAGGCCACGCGCTCCCCTTCTCGACTTTCACCGAAATTGAAGTCTTAAATTCCTCTCACTCCAATCCCAATGAATGTTGACCTTCAAGGCATGAAACGGACAGAGACAGATTTTCCCACTGTTATTCCACCTTTTACTGGAAAAAAGTCTCCACCACGGATGTTGTTGTGTAGTGTATCCTTTGCCGCACCAATGTCCAAATGTACACAAAAGACGAAAAAAAACTTTGTGTATACATTCTTGACCTTTGAATATCTTTGGTAGGCAAAGCAGCAGAGATATTTTAAACATATTCCAGGAAGACAAAAAATTTGGGTTTCTGGAGAAGGACTTTCTATTTCTTTCCCTGCGTCCTTTGACGTGCGATTGAATCAACTGCAGTGATACGCGTCTCAGTTTCTTGACTGTGCACTGCGGATGGCGAGGACGGCTTACGTAGGAACGTATCTCTCTGTATTGATCATGGGTGGGAATTCATTTCATCCGAATCTGCCTGAGAATGAGCAAGTACGGATTGTGGGGAATGAAGACGAGAAAGACATCCCCAGTGAAAGAAGAAGAATTGAAGATTCAGGTCCAGGCTGGTCTTTTCAGAGCTAACTCAACCATTCAAACACTCAAGTGCTCCGTCGGATTAAGTTGGTTGAGATTTGAGTATTTGTGATTCATATTGCATTGCATGTGAGGTGGATACAGTTCGCTGGGATCGCATCATTCACTCCGAATGTGCACATATGCCACGTACAACAACAAAGGAAAGTTGTGAATGGAGATTTTCTCTCC